TATTATTATGTAGGTTATATGGTAATTTATCGCTCGTTCATTCAACTTGATGATTCCCATTCAAAAGTATGGAGTATTAAATTAGTTAGTATATATCCTTTGTAATAAGCAGTAGTCATCAATCCATCTTCAAGTTGTTTTATTAATCACTAATCATTTCAAACTATATTAATTAATTAGCCAAATTTCTTGCATTACAATTACTTAATTAGCTTGTATAGATCTCAAATTGTTATTACTAGTGGTATTTTGATTACTATCGATTATAGATTTAATGATTATTAAATATAAAAAATACAAAAGAATGGGGGATGTGAAATGTTGCTATATTGCCCTAGCATCATGAAATATTTTCAAAATCTAAATCATTCTCACGTAAATATATAACCTAGTCAAATCATATTCTTTATCACTCACTTTATGTAAATTTCAAATCATATTCTTGATCTTCAACATATGCTTCATATATCCTGTCAAACATAAATGGTATTAAAGTATAGTTCGTATATTTTATGCAATATCAATAATATATCATTACATAATAGTAGTACATTGAATCCATTTCATGTATTATTACACCATAGAACATTGTATATAGCTTTGGAAATCAATTGATGGAAGTTCTAGCTTGTGTGATTTAGCTTGTGTGATTTAATTTCAATCATGTTATTATACATACACAAAAAATGATATAAAAATGTTTCAATGCCATTACATAATATGGTGTAATTAATACTCCATACTATATCTTGTGATCTTATCCAAAAAAAAACAAAACTCACTCAATATAATCTAATCAATGTCAAAATTGATTGTGTCACAAACTATAATTAGCTTTCAAAGAGGATCGAATTCAATTTGTTACTCAATCATCTCATTATAACCAAATACCATCCTTTTGTGAGAAGACTTTTCAATGACTACCAAAATATTATATCGATCCACTGCACCCTTTGACATAATTATTTCAGAACTTCATATACCTAATTATAAACAGTATTATAATGAGATTAAAATATAATAAAAGAAGTGATTGACCTAAGAAAAAGTAAAATTTAAGCAGAGCATGTAAATGAGATGGGACCATGATTACAAAATCCGACATGAAGTAGTGCAATTTCAGGCATTGACTCTTACCCATACATAAGGTAGACAACTATTTAAACTTGCATTACAACAGTTAGTTGGACTGTACTAGTGCACTAATTATGACTCTTAGTTTACCACAACATCATCTTCGTATTATAATTTCAAACCAAATTTAATTCAATCAATCAAAATTCCCACTTATGATTTTAAGTTTCAACAATTTCAGCCCTTTTTAGTTCTTCATTCAAATCTTGTTATACCTAAAATGCATGTTTTGTACGAACAAGTTGAATGTGGTCTTTATTATTGATATATTATCAATTTCTTGGAGTGTCAATTACGAATTTTAATGGTAAAGGTTTGGAAAATGAGATGGAAAAATCAAAGTTCAACTGTATATCTGCATCATGAATTACTTATTCGAGAGGGAGTTATAGCTACTTCGCACGATTTTTATTTGTTTCACACTTTGATAGTAACACACAAACCCCTAATTGGGGTTGAGTGTTACAAATAGCATTGAGATTTAATTAGAGCAAACATGCAAAGACATAGTAATCCTGTGGGCGGAGTGTTGCTTTAATTAGTAGAGGAGGTTCTAAGTAGGCCGCAGTAGAATTGTCGATTAGTTTTTAAGTGTAACAAGGGCATATATGGTTTTCTAGTGCAAGGTGTATGTGTAATACTTCTCGTGATTTCTTTAAAAGGTTTTAATGTAAGTGTTAAGGGATCATCTCAACCAAAAGTTTAAGCTGATGGTTGAGGCCTAGAAATACGTTTTATACTCTATCACGCCCCCTCACACAAGCCCCCATTGGGCTAGAAGTGTGGATGCAGCATGGACCCTCCTCATACCCAACGCGTAATATTCCTCTTATAAGTAGGGGGTGGATGAGATTTGAACCCGTGACCTTTGTGTCACGTTGCCTCTGATACTATGTCAGAGGGCCATCTCCACCAAAAGTTTAAACTGATGGTTGAGGCCCAGAAATACGTGTTATACTCTATCAGTAAGACTTAAACCAACAAGGTGCAATATAATTCTCTTAAGAATTGAATTCAAATGTTAAGATATTTCATAGTTAAACATGCTTGGCTTTAGCTAGGGATTGTGGTATTACATTGCCTTCAAGCAAGTCTCAAGGTTAAATATTATAATATTTGACTATATATTGGTCATAAATTATAATACAATGTGATCTATACTTCCTTCTTTCTACTCGCAAAGTTTGAAAATTTGCGCTATATGCACATTCTCTCATTGATCACCTTTATTGATTTATGTTGAACAAAATATAGTCAATTTGAATCTTGTTATTTTAAATTAATCTTGATTTATAATTTTCACAATATCAAATGTTACTATATTTTAATTTAACTATAATTAGAGATATAAAAGGTTGAATATGCATTGACAATTGTGAAAAGTCAAAACATTGCAAGTAAAAAAGAACAAAGAAAGTATAATTTTGTGTGACCGTATGGAGTTTTGTTAGATTATAACGATAACACGCAATTCATGATCAAGTAAGTGTGGATGATTGCTTTTTAAGTGTGGCCGTGAGAGACCTTAGCTTGCATCATTGTTAGATTATATGGAAAATAAATTGATAAGAAGTACTGAAGATCATCCTTTAAACGAGAGAAAGAAGAAGTGTCTAGTTTTGCTTCTATCAAAGAAAATTTGCAACTCTTGACAATCATGCATCCTTTAAACAAAATAAAAGAAAGAAAAACTCTAGATCGAAAAAAGCCATGCATGTTTTGTGGTTGGTAGCGGTCTAGCAGATATCGATCTCCTTCTTTTCAATGCTTTCGGCTTTTGCTTTAATTTTCTCCTGAGCTAGCTATCGTTCTTTTACTATCTAAGCTACTTTCTCATCCATAAGAAAGAGCTACATACATAGAATATATAACACTACTAACAATGAGACGTCGAGATCGATCGATCGAGTAAGTGTTTAATAGAATGGACTAGAGTATATATTAGTACCACTGCTAGGAAGCATCCACACCCAAATTCTGCGGCTGCTAATGCATGGGATCGAAAGCATATACATATATAATATAATTCATCTGTTGGCTTATAATACACGACCTTAATTAGCTTAGTTAATTAAGAAGTTGCATTGTTGAACTAACACGTTAGACTTATGCGTGAACATATGCGGTACTCGTAACTCGTATAGTATATCCCATTGACCCCAATATCCCATGCGGCCATGCATGCGCGCGTTGCACCATGCGACATTGCGATACATGCTGATATGGAGGTGTATAGAGGTGGTCGTTTTGTCGGTTCTGACCTAAACCGGCTAGGACCTGTTCACGATCCACCCAATAGACCGGTAGATTGTTGGTCAAAATCCTACATTCATTTAATAACCAAACTAGTTTTTAGGCTTGGGTGATGCCTCCAGTTACTGTATTATTTTCATGATTCAAATCCTTAATTACATTTAATTTTGGTAGAATGACATGTAATATGATAGATACTTTAATAGCTAACACTTTAGTTTTTAATCTGAAGGTTGTGGGTTCAAAATCTTCAAATCTTGTACAATTTTTATATATGTACATAAATATGAATTAGCCTATTCCAATCAACACATATAATTTTTTTTTTAAAAAAAAATTATTTATTTCCTTAAAAGATCGAATTGAAAAAAAAAATGATTTAACTAGACTAGGTGCAGCCCGGGCCGTCTGGCAAGCAATTAATAGTAAGTCTGACTAAATCAAAATGGATGAAATGAGAAAGATCCACAAGTCCCAATCCCAATTTTTAACCAACTTGTAACCAATTAGCCATATGATGTGGATGGCTGGATGCTAATCAACCAGTAAGATTAATTAAGTAGATATATACAAGTATATATATAGGTGCTGTTACAAAAATGCTAGCTAGCTGTAAATAAGTGCTTATATTAAAGAAGAAAAAAGCCAGTAGGTACGTAATTGCTGTTATAAGCAGCAATTCTCTACATCTCAAAATTTCACTATGTTGTTTGTTTAGTAGTCATTCTAGTCAATATATACTGTAAGCTAGCTAACGTTACCCGCGCATGTTTGTTATAGGGGAAATGAATCCAGAATTAAGCACTAAATATTAGGCTTCCACTTCGAGGCCCCAACTGATGACTATCTATATTGGCACTTGTCGATGTACAAAGTATTATGTCTTAATACGAGGGGCATCCTCGATTGGCATATAACATTTTGGGTTGTGTCGTGTTGTATTTCTGAATGACCGACCTAGTACTACTCAATATGAGTAGCAAAATTCAATTTATTTATTTTATTATATTCAAATTCCAAACAAATGCTTCATTATCTATCACAATATATATGTATATATTATTGCCCAAGGCGCAGATCACACACGCATGTATCGGGCATTATATATATATAACGTACAAGTATTGCCAAATGCTTTGTATAATTGGTTGATTGAATTCTACCAAACAATAATATTGAACTTATTTCTTTCGACGTTAAGTAATTGAGTTCAATTATAATGCCCAACTTTATTTTAATCATATATTTCAACTACTTCGCATTTCGACTCACATATCCTTTTTAAACAATCTTTTCGCTATACATTGATCATGTCAGAACATACACAAGTCATCAATTAAGCCAATTTGACAAAATTCGTGAATCTTTAAGAGAATCCCTTATTCATTTCCAATGGCCTCACGTCGAGCAATATCGACAAGTTTTATGCCAATACGACCCACTATCATCTTTACTCGTAAGTAAGCAAGCAAAGGGAAAACAAGTTATATTCTAAAATTCTACAATTAGAATTAAAGAACCAAAATAAAAAGTTAGTGATTCTACACTAGAGATATTTAGTTACCATGAACGGCGCTCAATTGGGCAGTTGCCTCAAAGAAAAGTAAAAGGGGCCCACCAACACTTTTAACACAGAGCCAGATGGCACTTGAATCCTCCACGTTGCACTCCTCTACAGTTTGGTTTCCCGCTAATGACGTGGCAACCATCATCTCTTAATCTCTTATTTAATTACTTTTTTTCTCTAATGACTTCATAAATACCATAGATTATTCTTTTTTTAAAAAAAATATTTTTTTTTCAACTTTACCAAAATAATAAAAATACAAAAATATAAAATCTCCTCTAATATTATTAACCCTCTTGGACCCACCACCCAAATTTAAATTAATAAATAGACCCCTCCTCTTCATTTCCTCACTTCTCTACATCTTCCCTTCATAAACTCTCTCTCTCTCTAAATACTACAACTTAACACAAACTTTCTCTCTCTAGAAAAATATTTGAACCAAACCAAACAAGCCCTAAGAAAAAAAAAATGTCAGTATTTTATGAAAACAAACCCCCAAACCAAATCAATGGCAATACGCAAACACAATGTCATGATTTCCAAAGTCAATCACCATCTTTATTATGCTCTTCTTATCCTATCACTCTCAAGGTATGTTAATTGATGTACCAACCAATATTTTTTATTTTATTTTTAATTACTTCCTTCATACGTTGTCAATTTCTTGTTGACTTGCTTGGACTTTGTTGTTGTTATTACTTCAAAGTCTACTTTCACCATAACTTATAATGTGTTTTTTTGTCTGATTTACACTTAAATGGATTTAAAAACGTACTTCTAGAGGTCGACCTAAGGTAGATCATGTTAGAGATATGCTATGTAATCAATAATGGAAAATCTTTTTTTAATATATTATTTGATATTGATTACATAGCATATCTTTGATAGCAGACCAAAAGTAGAAATGAATAACCTAGCCTAACATAACACACTTTTTGATAATGAGGTTGAGATTTATAAGATCCAAATTAATCAGGAATTCGACGTTTAACTCTTATGATTGATAGAGCTGATCACGAGTTAAGTCGAAACTGTAAGCTAAGTTTGTAACAACTAACTCTTTATTTAAAATTTATTTATGTACAGTTTATGGACATAAGCTACAAGGTGAAGGTTGAATCAAATGAAGGGGGAAGTAACATCAAATCATTGATTTGTGGCCGGGGTAGCTCAACAACATCATCATCATCCGAGACAGCAATGACAACCACAACGATTCAAGAAAGAACGATCTTGAACGAAATAACCGGAATAGCGTCACCAGGAGAGATCGTAGCCGTGCTAGGACCATCAGGGAGCGGGAAATCAACGCTCCTAAATGCACTCGCAGGAAGAATCCGTGGACACGCACTCACCGGATCAATCCTAGCGAATGACAAAAAACTCACAAAACAAATTCAAAAACGAACCGGATTTGTAACCCAAGACGACGTGCTCTACCCTCACCTTACAGTCCGAGAAACACTCCTCTACTGCGCACTCCTTCGCTTACCAAACACCCTCACCAAAAACGACAAAATCAACGTCGTTGAGTCTGTTATGGGAGAGCTAGGATTGCATAAGTGCGGGGACACCATAATAGGGAACACATTCATACGTGGGGTCTCGGGGGGCGAGAGAAAGCGCGTGTGCATCGCACATGAGATGCTTGTGAACCCGAGTTTATTAATTTTAGATGAGCCTACTTCTGGTTTAGACTCAACCGCGGCTCATCGGTTGGTCTTAACCTTACAAGGGTTGGCTAGGAAAGGTGGGAAAACAATTATTACTTCGGTTCACCAGCCTTCGAGCCGGGTTTACCAAATGTTCGACTCGGTTCTTGTGTTGTGTGATGGTAGACCGATTTATTTCGGGAAGGGTCATGACTCGATGTCGTATTTTCAGTCGGTTGGGTTCGAGCCGTCTTTTCCTATGAACCCCGCGGATTTTCTCCTTGATCTCGCTAATGGTACGTCATTTCTTCCTTGTTACACTCACTTTGATATTTTTGACGTGATTAAATTAGTTTATCTTGTTTTTGCGTCGTAAATAATGACGTATGTGGTATGTGCGTGAAATTATAGAATTACACTAGTATATTTTATTGAAATGAATGTTCATCGGTTTAAGTTAGACCACTTACGTCCTTATAAGTTTTTCCTCGTTTATTTAGTAAGTGTTAGCCAGCTAAAATGATAAATTGATAAAAATTACTCGTACTATTATATTCGATATATGAGTATATACATTTAATTAAAGAGGTCTATCCAACTTAATTTATTGCATGGTGAATGTAAGTTAAATTTCTATTAAAAAATTAAACTAAATAAAAGTAGGGGAATAAAAGTCACTTCGATACAATGGTAATAAATTTGTCCATAAATAGTACTAACTTATATAATAGAGAATTCTATTGACATTAAATTATTAAAGGAGAAAAATGTCGTGAGCGAAATTTGCTAGTTGTTTTTTAATTTTATTTGTTGGATTGGATTCGAATACGAGTAGTTTGATAAGTCAAAAATGATGTTTTAGAAACAAGAACAAAAACAAGTTGTTGTTTGTTCAAATAGAAACGAGATTTTGATTGGAACCCCGCAAGTTGTTAAATTTCTGGCACTAGCTAAAGATTGAAAGTGATGGAATTTATTGAAGAAGAAATATGTCGTATTGATTAGTCTTTTTATATGTCGGATCATCGTACAATCGATAGCATTAAAAGTATTGCACTATAAAAATTTTCGTAAAAATGTGATTTTATAAAATATTGCAATATGACACTATTAACTCACACTAGAATACTGAAATCAAATAAGATGTTCGTATACTCCTTCCGTCCTTTAAAAATTATCGTCTCTCTCTTTAGAACATGATCGTGCGAAGCTACATACTACCCCACTTACGGTTTTAAACTATATATAGCTAGCTTATACTTCGTAGCTGCCTACTATTATTGTATATTCTCTTTTATTACACTTAAGTTCATTTATAGGTGTAGCTTATTATTTATGAAGTGCAATAAGTTAAGTTTAAAGAGTCACTTACTTTCATACTTGGGCATGAAAAAGAGAGGGGCAATAATAATAATGCCGACTTGCTCTTGGCGTATACATACTCATTTTTAGAATCATGTACTCGATTCGTAGTACTAGAAATGTACCATCAATTATTTTTGAATAATATAAGCCAAAATCACATCTTAAATTTTGTAACAAAATCACGTAACTTTTAATATTTCAGGCTAAGTTTGTTTCACAAATACGCCAATACAGCCAAATAGTTTAGGATTCCTTTAATAAAATACTCGTATAATTGTTGAGGCGGCTAATATAGATAGATAACCGTTTATAATTGTTTATAAATAACCATATATACTGTATTTATGTATTGGGAATATGAATTGTGGCACAAAAATTATTTTTAAAAAATTGTTTTATTTCTTATGCATACCTGAATTACTCCAACCATCTTATTTTATTGGCCCGTACACATTTTTTTTTTTTAATGTTTGTATATATCTTCTAACACTAACAAAAAGATCAGAATTGTTGGTAAATTATCTTTTTATCTTTCTTCCCCCACTAATTAAAATTTCTAATTGATGTGTTAAAACCTTAAAACAACTTTTTAAATACGCAGTATTGTAAAGAGCATATACCATTAATATAAGTTGACAACCTTAGCTAAAATACGTGTAGGGGAATCGCCTAAGCTAAAATCTATAAATAATATACGATATAACAACTTAACTCAGTGCCTTTCAAAAAAAAAAATATAACAACTTAACTCAGTACAGAAAAAACAAATTACTCAATAAAAGTAACATGTCCATATGTTTCACCTAGTGTAGAACATGTCACGACGCTAGTACAACGTGATGAGTAACGAGCTTTAATTTACCTTTATTTCTTTCATAGCTTTCTCTACCCCAATTATTTAAATAAAAGTGTACACACACAAAATGGTACCTAATTAAAGAAAGATTGGAGGTGAACAAAATTTAGCCAACAAGCACGACATAGACAGTGTGGTAGTGTTGGAGGTGGTGGGAGCAAATAGCAATTGTCCTAAATTGATAAAATTAGGATTGTTTTGCAATTGCAATTATTTTTCATTGAATATTTCTAAGAACATGGAAAAGTTGGTGCCTTTTCTTATCTTTTCTTTTTCTTTTTCTTTTTGTGTTGGATAATACTACTAATAAGTAGAAATTTAATAATTTTACGTACCTTCTTGCCAGATGTCGCCTTTTGCTTCATCTTAGCTTTCTCTTTCACACTCCTTTTCAGTCTTCAGTCCACTTATATTTTTTCTTTATTTTTGACTCCTTTTCCTTTTTTTTCTTCCTTTTTTCATACTTTTTTTTTTCTTTTCTTTTATTATTTGCCTTAACTTTAACCACCCACCCACAACTTTTTTTATTTTTTGCAAAAGAGTAAGCTCAATAATTTTGGGAATTATTCTAGCCACTTTCTTTTTTTCAGTCCTTGGAAAAGTCAGTACCATTTTTGCTTACATTTTACTTTACTTTAGAATGAATTATGTAGGATAAAGTTACTATTTACCTATTCATATTTTTTGTGTGTGTTATACAAAATATTAATGTTTAAATGTCCCAAAAAACTGATCATCGCTTTCAGTATATTTAAATTAATAACTAAAATATCATTACAAAAATTGGTGAAAATGAATGTAAGAGTTATCCATCATCGATATATGGAGGGTAAGAAATTGAAAGCAAAAATTCTACTTATATATAATGAGCTAAATATTGAATCACTATACACTTTAATTAATAAGTCAACTCTTGAATAGCAGTTTTGCATTAAAAAAAAATAACTTTTAAATATCAGTTTATTACTCACCTAAAATATTTAAAATATTCGTATTTAATGTATAATCTTGTAAAATGACCTATCGTATATGATTATTGAAATTTAAAGCACACTTGTGTATATAATAGATTGGCTAACAATTATATTGAAAAAAAGTTTTTATTGTATTCTAGGAAACTTTCTAATTTAAATTGAAAAAAATCATTTTATTAGAAATCGAAATCTTATTACCTTAGTGATTAACGAATATAATCATTAGAGTTGAAATACAATGCACCGCATAATTAATTTATTAGAAGTATATAATTAAGTGATAAAATCCAGACACAAACATATGCCGATTCCACCGTGCTTTAACAAATTTGTTTTAACAACTCATTAGCCCATTAAATCATGTTTTTTAATGATGCTAAAATTATTAATAATGTATCAATATCATGCTTTTGTATGATAAGATAGCATAATTGTTTAAGCCCAATATTCCAAATTCGAGGCTTCTTATACTCGTACGTTTCTAAGAATCTTTAAGTTGTAGAAACTATACATCAAACTTTTAACATTTAAATGTTTTTTATAACACAATTATAAGGTATATTAAGCAAGGAATCTCCCTATATAATGTAGCATATTATGTATCCAATAATTAATGACACGTATCAACTAACAAAGGGAAATAGAAAAAAAAAAGTTAATTTCAATTTAAAAATATATATCAGATATATCAGAATTAATAATGCTTAAAAGCATTATGCTTAAGACATCCTTGAAATTTGGAAATTAATTAGAAAAACAATCTCTGTCCTACAACTCCTTGTAGGGCAAAGATGAAGATTATCTTAGTCTAAATTGTCAAGCATTTGGGCCACCATTGCCTGATTACTGTGTTTAGAATCATTCTACTGGTTCAGAATTCATGCTTTTCTATAAATTCTTTTCAAAGAAAAGGGACACTCCTTAGTCCTTATGAAATTTATTTCGTTCTTATTTGCGTCTACGGATTCTAGTTGTCTCTAAATAATAGGTTAAATTTCTATTTTAAATCATATATTTGACCTTTAAAATAGACGTGTATTATTGAAATATTTTGTATATATTAAAGTAATTTTGAGAATTTTCAAAAAATATTTTATTTAATTTATTGAAAATGTGACCCCATACCGAATTAGTTATGTTATATCACGATGGAGAACATTTTTCCTGTGTGAATAATAGACTTACAATTAATTTCTTCAATCAAATGGTCCAAAGTAGATAAAAAGATCATATTGTATCATATCATAGGCCATGCAAATTAATCTCCATACTGATAGTGACATATTATAGTTTCCCATACTATTAGTAAACTTTGATCATTGCTTTATTATCTTTAATTTACTCTCTAAGCTATTATCTCCTTTTAATTTTAAAAAGGATATATAAATAATGATCTCATATTAATCGTATTTATCATGATAATTGTGATTTCGACCTAATAAAGATTTTGTCCAACACAGTGTATAAACTGTTAAGAGTTTGAATATACATCTTTTTATCCCACTAATTAACATATCCCATATTTAGTCAAGTAAATACCTATTCTAGAAAAATGCTCGTGTTTATGTGTCACGTACGAATCTATGCCTAGTGCACCCTCTTTTAACTCATAATAAAACAAAAATGTCTATTTCTTGTTAACATATTATAGCTGGATTGCAATAGTTTTTATGATTTTTTTTTAAAAAATTGGTTAGTACTATGTATGTGGATTATATTCCTATATAGTATGTCCTATTTATCTTTGTTACTTTTCTTTTGTTGTGGGAGACATGTCTCATATTGTTTTGAAACAAAGGACACCACCATAGTAAATTGAATTATATTTCATAAAATTATATTTTCATAACTTTTGTGTCTTTTAAGCTTCTTTACATTTCGATATCCCATTATCTTTTTTTAAAGATATTGTTCACCTTTGATGGTGTCTTCCTACCCTTAGCCCGCCTAGAAAAGCAAAAAAATTGATAAATCCTTTTCCATAAATATAAAGTTCCGTATATTAATTGCATATTTGAAAGTAAGTATGCTGTGATATACACATATATATTAGATATCATAGATTTGTTGATAACTACTCATTAACAGACTAAACATTACATAGTGAAATTCTAAAACTCTATAAGAAGGGGTGAAAAACTGAAAATGAAGTTGTGAATGCGTATTAGGAGAATATCATTGTTCTCATCTTTTCACCTAAAAGAAAGTTGCGTTAAAAAAACAAGTATAAGACAATTAAAAAGTCTAGTTTAAATAAGTTCAGATTAGCTAGTTGTACAACTAACATGGTATAGCTGCTACATAGAAAATCTTCTACGTAAGTAGTAGTAGTATCACTAATATGTACGATTCAAATCCTATAAACAAAGTCTAAGCGACATATAAAACAAACAATGCTTTAATATTAATGCACTTTTGACTAGGCATAATACCATTCATAGTCTAGTTTAATGGATGGTTGAGGTCATGGCTAATATTTCCAATGATTCACTACAATACATAGTCTTTTGGCACACTGTTACGTTCATAGACACCATTATGAACACAAGCTACAAGTTGGAGTATTTGATGATATGTGACGACATCAACTGCGTATGATAGCATATTAGCATATCCATAATATTAATGGAAAGTACCAAATGATTTTTGACCCCTTTTTTCTATTGGATAAACTAAATGTGTGAAAAATAATTTTGTTAAAAATAGGAATTTACCACTAGTTCTTCAATGTTAGAGGTGCGAATCTAGCTAGTGCAATAGGCCTCCAATATTCTTGTTTTTTTAATAGGTATTTTGAATATTGAATTGTATTTTCAAAATCATGCTAGATTTTGTTCGTACTATTGGTTCGAATTTTTCTCAATTAAATCATTTCTCGAATATATAGTTAGTTCAATGTACTAACTTATCAATCGTTTTCTTAAGACTGTAGTTTTTGTTCTTCTCTTATTTTGTTTTCAACTATTCAACATTTCAAATTTTCAATAGTGAGTTTAAATTAAATTTCTAAAATATTTTTCAAAAATACTAATAAAAATAAAAATAAAAATCGAATATATATTAGCCTTTGTTTGAGTGTGTGCTTAGACATTTTAGAATCATTTTCTCATACTAGTCAATTGTGTATATAACAATAATGCGTTAATAGATAAGCTATCATATATAATAAACATGTTAATTTTGATAGTTGTTCTCCAATAATATACTTCCTCCGTTCTATTAATATTGCAACAAGGATGAAATTACGCATTCCAAACCACATTTTATATGCTAAATATCTATAATTGTGTAAGAGTAAAAATTATAAAAAGTTGATATTATGAAAGTATTTTATGAGACGAATCCAATAAGATCCCACATGATTATATTTTGCTTAACGTATAAATAATATTATATGGTCAAACAAAAGTGATAAATAGTGCAAAAAGTCTATTATTACAATATTAATAGAACGGAGAAAGTATGTTTATACATAACCAGATTATATCCGGATAAACATCTTATCAAACTTTATTTTTATCAAACTTACCATGTTACTTTCCTTTCCTTTTTCCTACCCTTTTTTTAGGTTGATTTAATGTTATCAATAAAAGTATGGAATATTTATTAGAAAGTATGAACACGTGTGAGGCTACTTTGAGGGTGCTTACGCATTCAATAACGTTAACAAAAGAGGTTTTTGGTTAAATTGATGAGCGAGCACCTAAAGCTTAAATGGAGTCCCACCATACTCCACCAACATTGGCCTTCTTTTATTCTTACCTTTCTTATTGCTTCCTCTTTAGGTAGTGACACTATCTCATCACTAATCTTAATTATACTCTTTTAATACTTGCACTATTCTGTTACCACTATACTTTAATATGATTGTAATTTGATCATAGTATATTAAGTAACGTATGTTGGACCTACTAATTGTTAGAGTTACGAGTTATGTATGTTTGGTCATGAACATAATTGTCCGGTGAGTAGCTAGCTAGTGTTACGAGTTGTATACGTGCTTATTGTTCGTCGTACGTATACACCATGCTAGAAAATGAACATGTTATGTATTCACTTATTCCTACATGATTATTAAGCACTTGGATCATGTAATGACGTTCATGAAATCGATGTATATGCAGGTATTTCTCATCAACCGGATGGAGTAAACGAGAGTAATAAGCCAAATACAAAGCAAGCACTTGTTACAGCATACAACACGGTATTAGCTCCTAGAGTAAAAACAGCCTGCTTAGACAATACAAGCAATAACAAGAACACTTTGCCAAAAAACACAGTTGTTGGTAGTAGAAGAAGCGCAAGGCAATACATAAAAAACGGCATTTTCTCATGGTTCAGCCAGTTTAGCATCCTTCTCCAAAGGAGCCTAAAAGAGCGAAGGCACGAGTCTTTTAACTCCCTTAGAGTCTCTCAGGTAATCGCGGCTGCACTTCTAGCAGGGATTATGTGGTGGAAATCAGACTATCGAGATGTACAAGATAGGTTAGGGTTGCTCTACTTCATCTCGATTTTTTGGGGGGTGTTTCCTTCTTTTAATGCTGTCTTCGCGTTCCCTCAAGACCGGTCTATCTTTGCTAAGGAGCGTGCCTCTGGAATGTACTCGTTGTCTTCGTACTTCATGGCTCGAATCATAGGTGATCTACCCTTGGAGCTTATTCTACCGTCAATTTTTCTTACATTGGTGTATTGGATGACTGGCTTAAGGCCTGAACTTTGGACCTTTCTACAGTCCTTGGGTGTTATTATAGGGTATGTGCTCGTTGCACAAGGCCTTGGGCTTGCTCTAGGCGCGATTATAATGGATGCCAAACGAGCTTCTACGATTGTTACAATCATTATGCTGGCTTGTGTTTTGACTGGAGGATTCTATGTGCATAAATTGCCTAGGTGTTTGGGTTGGATTAAGTATGCATCACTTACATTTTATTGCTATCGTCTACTGATCGATGTGCAATATGATGGGGGAGAAAGAATTTCGTCGTTCTTTGGTTGCTCGAGCCATCATTCGATTAATGTGGCTAATTGTAAGTTCATCGACGAAGACATTGTAGGGCAGATCAGTCCCCTAGCAAGTGTAGGAGTGATGTTGATCATGTTTGTTGGGTTCAGGTTATTGGCTTACATTGCATTAAGACGTATGAAGGTTTGAACGTTTTTTACATAGCCACGTTATTAGTAATTTACTATTACTCCCTCTGTCCGGAATTAATTATCACGTTGACATGCATGGGTACGTATTGTGACAACTAAATCCTTACAGCGGGAGTACATATATATGATCCGATAGATCCATAATCATCTTTCAATCCCGAGAAGATTATGGTTCGAGCTTTCGTCTTCACGATGATTGTCTGATCAAGTTGTGGACATCTAGCCTTGTGGGAAGCTGCATGGTGTACTAGGAAGCTAACAAATTCCAGTTTTCCCCCTTTATTTTGAAATGCAGTTTGTAAAGATTTTTAGCAAAAGAGGCATAACTGAATGAACCCTCCATTATCATAATTGGAGTTGTATTTTTTTTCCCCAAGTTTATTAAATGTATATATACGGTATTTATACAAGTATTTATTAATGGTAATAAAGAGGATTAAATTTCACTTTGCTAGTGGGCATTTGCTTGACTCTTTTTTCTACTTTTTTTTAGCATAATTTTTCAAGTTTCACATCATTAAAGTGAAATTATCCACACCAATTGAGAAATTAAGATGATCACTCGTTTATAATTGAAGGTGAAATAAACTTTGAAACACATCAATTAGTTAATGTAATAAACTATTTTGGTTATTGAAATTTGACTTGGAAAAAACACAGTTATAGATTGATTTATACAAACAAATGTGCAGTATGTGCTCTCAAAATTGCTTGGACGTACATATATATAAAGTACGAATTGAAGTATGTTGCACTATGAAATATCTAAACAATTAGTCAAATATAAGTTTTAGAATCGATAACCTTTATATTTGACCTTTCTATTATGAGACGATTTTAAAAGATGAAATAGATAGATAGATAATTAGATATCATTGGCTTTGTGTTTCCCATCACACTAAGGCATTTAAGACCATATAACCTACACACCATTCTAAATTTCTAATCTCATAAGCCATCTAATAATCTAATTGACCTCAAATGTAATCCTTGATTGCTTGATGCTCCTAAAGACGGCCTGCGGCTAAATGACACTTAAGTTTCCGCTTATTAGCACCCAAGTTCATAGTTGATCTTAAAAATATAAGAAACCTACTTTGTTCTTTAACCATCTTGCTATTTTTGAAATATCTATCATAACTCATAAGTAACTTTAGATAATTTTAAGCACATATACAATAATTTATGTCTTAGAAAACATGTTTATTGACAACCTTATAAATTACAACGAAGTTATCTTTAAGGAACAAAGGCAGTTTCCTAAAAAAATAGGAACGAAGGCCGTGCTCAATTGCTCATATATAGTGTTGTACTCTTATACCAGGTTGAAATGTGTCAGTATTGGGCTTACTTCCGAAGCATAAATTGGGCTAAATAATAAATTAATTATATAATCCTAATTCAGTCCACATCATCAAAGCCCAAATATCTACTCTTTTCAAGTTTCTTCAACACCTAAAGTCCTAATAAAACCCAAAATTGGCAATTTCTGAAATTCAACTCAGAAAATTCCAGAAAACCCAGAAACACCAATTTTAAATGTTGGATGAAGCAATCATAATCATTTGAAGCTGAAAGCAATGGAGAAATTAAGCAATTCAAGCTCAAGAGAGATGCAATGCGTCGGAAAATTGGAAATTGCGAGCCCTAAAAAACCAGTTGGATTTCTTTGTGGTTCAATTCCTGTTCCTACTGATAATTCCTTCCACTCTTTCAGCTCTGACCTTGTTCCTTCTTCTTCAACGTAACCATTTTCTCTCTCTTCCTTCAATTAATTTTTTTGGGTTTTGATTATTTTCTTGAATTGTTTTGTTGATTTTTGTTGTTGTAATTGAATTTAGGGTGAGTGCACCGAGGTATCGAATGCTTCCGACGGAAACTGATCTTAATAATCCGCCATTGACGACTACCAGTGCTCCTAATACGCGAACTTCTCCTCCTACTGAAGGTTAGGTTATTATTACTTCTCTTTTCAGTATACTTTATATATCATACTGCGTAGTATTGATTGTTATGATTTTTATGTTTGTAAAGTTAATGGATGTTATTAGTAATTTAAGCTGTAGATTTCTCATAATTCTCATTTCTATTGTTGTTTGGAGGTAATTGTTATACTGAATACTATTTTGGAGTGTTCGGGAAATGATATAATGTTCTGTAAAATCGTACTGATAAAGTATTCTTGCATATACGAAATGAACTATATATAGATGAATAGAATTCCGTTAAGTATTTATGTCGATTCCATTTGGGTAGGTTACCCACAGAGTAGATGATTAGGTGATGATATTTCCTGATTGTGAATATGAAACAAATATTATAAGTCCAAAAAAACAAATAAGAGTGCTATTAAGAATGTATGGGAGAAGAAATTATGTTTCGTTAATTGGTCGAGATCAAATATCACCTGTTTTTCCTAGGTGATCTTCATTTTATATGAAATATACTCCTGTGAAGTATTTATTGGAGAGTTAGATTCCAAAGTATTAATGTCGGTTTGATATGGGAGAAGATTACCATTGGGTTAGATGAAAATATATCTAGGGCATTCTAGGATTTTAATAGGCGAGTAAGTACATGGTAAATAGAGTGTGTAATATATGAGCCTTGTTGATCACTGGTTAATATTTTTAAATCAGGTTGGGTTTGGGTGAGTTGGCGGGTGACAGTTGGTTCATATATTAGGTACTCACTGCAACATTTGTTTTACCTCCATCATGTCCATCACATATGAAATTGAGAGAAATTGCTGAAAAAACTAAGAAGCTGCTTGCTAAGTGAGCTGTCTCACGTTCTGATAAACCATGTTGCTAAATTTGGAGTGTGGTTTGGTGATATAAAGTGGAATAAAGATCTCCATTGTTTGAGGTTGTAGATGAGATATACTAGTGCATAAGATGGTGGGATATGCTGTATCAATGTTACGGAGAACAGCCATGCTTCCTCAAACTCATACTGGATAGAAGATTTTTATTGCATCGTTTTAGATGCCGAATGCTGATGATTCGTTTCTAAGTGAACTTTGTGTCCTGTCCTGATGTTCTATACCTCACATTGAGCATTTTTCCGCAGCCTTGCTGCATGTTTCTATCATGCTGTAGATGCAAACCTTAAAAATACGCTACTACCTTCATTCCTTAATGTGCTTAGTATTTAATAATTTTCACGCTTTCCAATGCAACTTTTTTACCATTAATTTTTCTAATTATGTATTTGTGAAAATTATAATAAGTTGATATGTCGAATGTACACATTGAGATGACTCTACGAAGACTCCACATGAATATGATTTTCCATACATATAAATTACAAACAATGGTCAAAGTGTAATTTGTGAATTGTGTTAAAAATCGAAGTGTGAAGAACATTAAGGAACAAAGGTAGTATATAATAGTGTGATTCTGGTGGTCATATGTCAATATTTATTGCTGTTCTAAGTTAATATGATGCTTCTTAGGAAAATGTTTTCGTCATGGATAGAGTTTTCATGCTAATGATTAATTAGTTATGATTAATACTTTAGCAGGTGTATCGTGGGATGATGGAGCTGTTACATCTAACTTAGCTAGGAAGGGTGAGGCCCTTGCTGTATCTGGTTTGGTGGAGTATGGTGATGAGATGTCATTGCTCCTGCAGACATCCTGAAGCAGATTTTTAAGATTCCATACACTAAGGCTCGGCTATCAATCGCAGTTCACCGTGTTGGGCAAACTCTTATCCTGAATGCAGGGTCAGTTTGTATTTCTCTGCTTTGTGTACTCTTGGTGGTTTTTTGGTTGTATGTTTCGGTGATTTCAATAGTTTTATCTTTATCAGGCCTGATGTGGAAGAGGGAGAAAGATTCGTTAGGAGAAATCAGCCAAAATGCTCAGATGAATCACTCTTTCTCAATTTCGCAAAGCATTCAGTTCGAATGGAAGCTTGTGATTGCCCACCCACTCATTCCACCACTGCAGAAGGACAATCTAAATCTTCTGTTCTTCCAGAGCCATTTGACCCTACGAGTACCTCCTTCAAATCTTCTGAATTTCTGACTCCTAACATTTCTGATAATGACAGCACTGATGGACATTCTGATTATTCTAAAGCCAAACAAGATGGATTGTATTGGGAGAGTAAGAAGAACAGAAACAAGGCGCGTGATCCTTTAAAAAAGGCTTCTCGTATTGGTGAGAAACCCAGAGGCCCAGTGCAGGAATCCGAGAAGTATAGATGTAGTAATGATGAGTTTTTGAGAGTCCTGTTTTGGCAGTTTCACAACTTCCGTGTTCTGCTCGGCAGTGATTTGCTCCTATTTAGTAATGATAAGTATGTATCTGTGAGCTTGCATCTATGGGATGTTTCTAGACAGGTGTGTATCATACTGTTTGTTCTCTCTCTTCCGCATTATGCTCATGTCATACTTCTTACTATCTCTGTGTTTTCACTCAACTGTCAGGTCACGCCATTAACATGGCTTGAAGCTTGGTTGGATAATGTCATGGCAAGTGTTCCAGAGTTAGCCATCTGCTATCATAGAAATGGTGTAGTTAAAGGTTATGAGCTTTTGAAAACGGATGACATATTTCTTCTGAAGGGCATGTCTGAAGATGGCACACCAGCATTTCATCCATATGTTGTTCAGCAAAATGGACTCTCAGTTTTGAGGTTTCTCCAAGCGAATTGCAAGCAAGATCCTGGTGCTTACTGGGTACCATGTCACCTTTCTTTTGACTGGCTTCACTCCCTCTTTGGTTTGCTTCACTAAATTACTTATTGATTATTGATTATAGTATTTCACTATCTAATTCTTGCTTTCTAACTTATTTTCTCTCAGCTATATAAAAATGCTGGAGAAGATGTGATTCAACTTTTGGATCTCTCTGTCATTCCCCAAAATCATCCACCTGATACTGATGATGGTTGCTCGAGCTCTCTGCCATCGTTGATCCAGAGAGGAAGATCTGACTCTTTATTGTCGCTTGGAACTCTCCTTTACCGTATCGCTCATAGGCTTTCGCTTTCCATGGTAACTCTAGTACACTACATCACTCTTCTGTTTTTCTTGTTTCTATTTCATACTTCCACTTTCCTTTGCTCATATGACTTTGGGTGGGTTTCTGTGTTGATTTCTCGTTTTAGGCTCCCGAAAGTAGGTTCAGGTGTGCTCGGTTTGTCCGAAAATGTTTGGAGCTGTTGGATGAACCTGACCATCTGGTAATATCCATATCCTTTTGCTGCTATTCTGTGAAAAAAAAAGTTGATTGTTGCCTTTCATTGTTCTTAATTCAAAATAATATTTCCTTAGCTAGTTATGATTTGTTCTTGATAGGTTGTCCGTGCATTTGCACATGAACAATTTGCAAGGCTTATCTTGAATAATGATGAAGAGATCGACTTAGCTGCCGAAGTTTTCCCCCTTGCAGCGGAGGTGACTGTCATTGATCAAGAAGAAGAGTCCTTGGATATTGTT